ACATTTCAAGATCAATGTTTGTAATTTGATGAATATTCCTTAATCCCTCTAAAGATTATTTAGGTTTCAAGCACATAGTAAAATAGTTGCGACTTTCAAAAAATATTTCTCCACTTAGTCAAGAATTTCATACTTTGGTTATACAGCTGAGAGGACTGAAGTGAATTTTATTCTTAAGACAAAAATGTGTTTCCTTTCCAAAGAAAACTACCCTCCTTGAGAACTACATGTACATGTACTTGATGATGTTGGAGATAATTTACATGAAGTCTGCAGATGCAATCAACTATTTAAAGCACTAAAAATTACATGTATGTTTGCTTTTGAAATATCAAAATGACAAGACATTTTTTTTCCTGTCAAAACAACTGTGCACGTCTGTGTTTATAAAATGTACCGGTAATGCTCTTCATTATACATGCACATTTGTATGAATACATGCACTTATAAATTAAGTAAACAAAAAAAGACAACTGCCTCAATATGAAGTCAAATCTTCATGGTTGCTAGAAATTAAAGGCTCCTCAACGGCCAAGATAGCTAAGAATCAGAATGCATGTATAATTAAGTACGGTTTTAAGTAAGGAACCACGGGACCAACATTCTCTCATCACTTCTTGCATTTCTTCTCTTCTTCTCAATAAGTGGTTGCAAATCAACTACAGCCTACATGTAGGCTACGGAGTATTTATAGAGGAGTACAACTGATAATGTCACTTTGAAAGGAGTTCCCCCTTTCTTGCTCTCTCTCTCTCTCTCCATCACATTCATTCACCTAGATTTACATGTACATACTCAGATACTGTACATGTATATCTCTTATTAAGTCACATACATATGTACAGTGTAGATTTGACAGATAATTGAACTAAATAAAACTCTCATGGACATGGGCCCATATGGGTTTGCCCTTGACCTTTTCGCTGGAGTCTCATCGCTTTTTGCATTTCTCCCTTTCTCTTTCACTTGCATGTCATGTGCTCTAAGTCTAACTTCTATTTCTAAGGCTATCTCTATCTTGCCTTTATTCACCTAAACTAATTTGATCAGAAACAAATCTATGGTCTATACAGTCTTGATAGAATAAAATATATATTCTAAATGGCCAAATATTAACTTACATGCCAGGTTGTCATGCCAAATTTAATGACTACTAGGCCTATATGTCAGTGCACTGCTGCTAATTCAACTTGTTTTCAATGTTGCGAATATTTTCCGATTGTGAAACATGTCAAATTTCAATGTCAGACTGTTAAACTGCATGTCTAATTCACTTACTTTCTGTACAGTCTTTCAGCTTGAGGACATCATCTGGTGTGACGAATTCCTTTAGTAGAAGTTCCTCTTCGGTGACTGTTTCTTCAGAATTTGAATGTGCCTTCTTTTCCTTGGCTTTCCTCTGCAAGAAGCCACCTCCTTTCTTCTTACCCGAAGCAGTGCCCCCACCGCTCGCTGGTGGTTTCGCTGGTGAGTTGCTCATCTTGTAGTGTCAAACCTAGCCGATAGAATCTTCAAAGTGCTGCTATATTCCACTCTAAGTCACCTTGATGTGTAAGTTGGCTTACAGGATCCTTGAACAATGATATGCTCGGTCAATTTTAGGTAAATATTTGGAGAAATCTATGAGTTGTTTGATGACATTGCACAACGAATCGCTTCTTGGCTTTACGTGTAATTTCTACGTAATATACATTTCTATTGTGCACGCACGTACGTACGCACGTACACGTACGTATAACTCAATGCGATGTGTCCGAAACGTTAACGTACGCGTACGCGCTCTCAAATCAATTAATGAATAATTTGTACACAAAATTCTAAACGCTGAATTATACACGGATTTCTCATTATATAATTTAAACTACATTTAGTTGGTTTTTAAATCGCTCACTGCAAAACTATGGTCATAATAATACTCCAAAGAATAGAGCCCTAGTATTTAAAGAAGGAAATGTGCTTGCTTGCAGTTTATGTGCATGAATTATCATTGATATTTCTTGATAATTCAATCGAGCAGGTCAAAATGCATTTAACCGTATCAGACAGGTGTGTGTCAAATGATTCCTACAGTCAAATGAACAGTGAGGTCTAAAGACCTCGATTAAAAAGCTTTGTGAGGTAAAGGGACTTTATGGGGTTTTACAATATCCGTCACCTGTTATTCGTTTGCCTCGTTGCCAATGGCAACCTATTGCCATTAGGTCTATATTCCCGGAAGTCATTATCATTACCATACGGGCCAACCCCCCCCCCCCCTTCTCTCTCTCTCTCTCTCTCTCTCTCTCTCTGATACAATTTTTTGTGTCCCTTATAGTGTTTTCAGTATCTATAATCGAAGTTTGAATAACCAAGGATTCTTCATGGAAATCCAAATAGATTCATCTAGTTTTAAAAAAACTTGTATTATTGTTCATTTTTTGCTTCTTCTTCTTCTTCTTCTTCTTCTTCTTCTTCTTCTTCTTCTTCTTCTTCCGTTCTTCTTCTTCTTCTTCTTCTTCTTCTTCTTCTTCTTCTTCTTCTTCTTCTTCTTCTTCTTCTTCTTCTTCTTCCTATTCTTCTTCTTGTTGTTGTTCTTCTTCTTTTACTATTTTTTCCTTCTCCTTCTTTTTTTCTGCTTCTTTTTTTCCTTAGTTGACTAAGAAACCTAGAACAAATCTTCCTCTTTTTTTATTCTTTCTTTCTTTCTTCTTTACCATAGTTTCCTCCTCCTACGCCTTTTCCTCCTTGATGTATCCTTGTTTATTGACTTCAGAATTCTCCTACTAATATTTGCGAGGGGATTATAAATGAAATATATATATATATATAACTATGCCAGACAGTGTAATATCCAAGTTTTGTAACATAATTGTCGTTTCCTATAAAAGACTCATGATTTGTCAGTTTTGGTTCTAAACAAACTAAACACAATAATAAACCACTTCGGAGATGGTACAAATTAATAAGAAAACTATTGTGAAGATTCTATTTATGATCAGAGGCGGCGGAGCGACTTCCAAAGAGGGGGGCACCAACAAAAAAGGACACTTTCCAGAAAAAAGGCAACTTCAAAGGGAAATCTCAAAGCGAAAATATACAATTTTTTAGACATTGGTATATACCCCTAGTATTGTGATCTCATTATCAGGGATGATTTCAATATTTGTTTTTCTTTATACATCATATAAGATATTGCTTAAGCATCATACTTTGCAGTTGGGTGTGATGGTCTGAAAATTCATTTGCAAGAAAGCAAAGCGAGCGAGGAGCATTTTTAAGATTTGTGAGGTCGCAGTGCAAAAAATGACATCTTTTAAAGAGGAAAAACCCAATCCTGATGGGTTATAAGCACATCCTCAAAGCGGAAGACTGGAAAAGACCTTTGATAAGTTACATAATTATAACAGATTTTATGAGAATGGGAAATGGGTATTTGTCGACGGAAAAGAGGCACCCATCAGATTTTGATAGGGGCATTTATAAGAAGTGAACATGGGCATTTATGAAAAAGGGATAGGTTTCTTATTAGAAAGGGAAAAGGGGCACATATCATTGTTAAAAGGGTCATTATCAGAGGTGAAAAAGGGCACTTATCGCATCTGAAAAGGGGCATTGACCATACGTGAAAAGAGGCACTTATGAGAATGAAAAAGGGGCACTAATGATAAAAGTTGAAAGGAAAGGGGCACTGGTCAGATTTTAATAGGGGCACTTATCGGAGGTGAAAAGAGGTAATTATGAGAAGGGGAAGGGGCACCTTATTTTTTTTTTTGGGGGGGGGGGGTATTATAAGTTTTGGTTGTTAATTTTTAGTCAGACAATGGTGCGCCTCGAAACACCCGTATTAAGCGCCTAATAAATGTTGTGTATTATTATTATTATTACCAGAAGGAAAAAGAGCATTTATAAGGAAAAAAGGGGGACGTGTCAAAATAAAAAGGGGCATTTATTAGAGATGAGAAGAGCACTTACCAGGAGGGGAAGGGGCACTTGTCAAAGGAAAACGAATATCTCTCAGAATTGAATAGTCAAGTCATGACTTGAAAAGGGGCATTTATGAGAAGGGAAAGGGGCTCCTTTTTAAATGGGGGCACTTATTATACGGGAAAGGGGCACTTATTAAAAAGGAAAGTGGAACTTGTCAAAGCAAAAGGGGAACCTCTCAGATTTGAATAGGGTAATTATCAGTGGTGAAGGGGGCGGCTATCAAAAGTGAAAAGGGGGCTTCTCGTACCTGAAAAGGAGAACTTACTAGAGATTAAAAAAGGCACTTATGAGAATGGAAAATGGACACTTATTGCAAAGGAAAATGGGAACTTGTCAAAGAAAAAGGGGCTCTTATCAGAGGTGGAAAGGGAAAGGGGCAATTTTTAAAATTAATAGGGGCACTTGTCAAAGTAAAAAGGGGCACTTTTGGGGTACTTGAACAAGTGAGGGGGGCCTGCCCCCCGGGAGCGCCGCCTCTGTATATGATATTATATATGGTTTTCTGTGATTTTTTTATATTTTTTTTTACGCACTGCGGTTACCTTCCATTTTTTTCCTTTTAATCCTTCTTCTTTTATTCATTTGTTTCATAATCATTTGCTTTCACACCTGTCTCATTACTATTTTGTTGGGGAGGGGGTGCTCCCCCCCCCCCTTTCTTTCTCTCTCACTCTCCCTCTCTCTGTTGCTTCTCATATATTTTGTACATGATAAGAGTTCAAGAGAACTATTATGGGATGATCTCTATATGAGTGACATTGAGCACGCCCTCATTGTTCAATTCGTAGCAATGTAACTTTCAAAGATTCTTTCTCAGACTTGTCTTGTGCTCTTCTTCTTCTTCTCCTTCTCCTCCTCCTCCTTCTTCTTCACAAAAATAACAACCATCATACACATCATCACCATTACCATAATCATACATATCATCATCATTATTACTATGAGAATCACCACAATTACAAAGACATACTTTGCCGTCTTTATCTCATGAGAGGAAACTGAACTTACAAAAATCATGAAACCAAACAAGAGTGTTTTCCTTTTCTTATTTTAATTACGAAGTTGTCATTGCTTTTATCATCTCAGCACCTGCGATTTCATTATCACCAGGAACACGAGGTTTAAATCTACAATTTTATATCATATAATGTCTTTATACATGATCATCATCATCAAATATCTTGCGTCCTTTCTGGTTGTAAGTCCTTTCATGTTCAATTTATAAACATGCCTCTCACTTTTAAATCAAATTAAACATCGTGTTGAGGTTATACTATATAGACAAGCACGTTACAGAGTGGAGGTGATACATGTCTTGTACATGCTAGAGAAAAAAATGTGAATTTTTTTTTTCACAGGATAGGACACATGTAGAGGGGAGAACAGTGTGAAAATGAAGGAGAAAAACAGAAGAGGAAGATATGTTTTCTTGAATGTATTCCATATGTGTGAATTTTCACTAATACTATACACCAAATCTACTATGTTGTAGACGTAATTTTAAGTCACTGAAACTACCTCTTATAAACATTCTGAATTATATGTAGATGAATTTCATTGCATACATATAGAATATGAATCTTTATGAAGTGATGATTGAGTAAAGTGTAGTCCTTAATCCCTAACGAAAGTGACTCCAAATTCCTTTTGGAAAAGTGAGATTATAAGGATTGTCAATATTTCAGAGAATTTATTTGAAATTAGTCCTCTTTAATGAAACCATGATTTATTTTTAATTATTTGCACCATGGTTTGAAATGTCTTCTTTTTCAGGTTCCTACAGAATTTGAGAACCAAATTCCATGACTTTCCATGATTTTCAACGAACAATCTTTTCCCTTTTTCCATGAGAAGTAGCATTTTGGTATGGGTTGCGGCATCCAAGCTGCATAACATAAATTTGTGTCTGTTATTATGATACAGAAAGAGGTAAAAGAACTATGCATATTTTCTATGATGAAACATCTTTTGTTGTCGTAAATAAATCAAAATACATACATCATGTACATTTCACAGAATTTAAATAATAGGGTGATATATCAGAAATATAATATCCATACATAAACAGAAAAATAAAACTCTCAATTTCTTTCAATTAATGCACAAACACACAGATATTTCAACATAACATCACAATGTCGTTTTCAACACTGAATGAATAATCAACATATATTTGATTGAAACCGTCAATTCAAGACAAAAGAATAGCCCTTTAAAAAGGGTAAGAAAGAAGGTAATGTGATATTAGCAACCCTTTTTTCCAATTTCAATATTGCCAGTTTTTTTTCTTTCGTTTTACTTCATTCCTGGCAGTTCTGCAATTCAATGGTATTTCAATTCATTATGAAAATATATTAATAAACATATTACATGAGAAAGAAAAAAAGACCACTTACATCATACAGACTTAACTTTTCACATAGAGCACACAACAAATAGGAGCCAGTGGATAACAAGAGCCCATAGTGGTAGAAATTATATAAAAATTATAAATACTGATAAAATACAGATAGGTACAAGAGCATACATTACAGTGATAAAAGGACATTAGAGATCTACAATTTAAAACTTTCGACTTCATGTACATATAACCCTTAAAAGAAACGTCCATTCTTCTTTAAAATCCATAACATGCCAAATTTTTTTGGAAGGTTATGTCATACAATTCATAGTAATTATTTTGTGTTTATCAATTGCAGAGTAGTGTTTAAAAATAGAATGCAGATGTTATGGTATTATCAAGAACTATATCTTATCCAACACGAGGGAAATTCCATGATCAAACATTTTTAAATCTCCAAAACTATGTCAAAAGAGCCATGGTTATAAGAACAACATATAATCTTTGGAACTATGAACTGTCGCCGAAACAGAAACTACCATATAACTGTACATTGTAAAAATATTCATTAAGAATATTGGTATTTAAGAAAGTCATTGGCATTTTGAGAGTTATGTCAATGCCATGCTGTTCTTAATTTCAGTATAAGATATTTGTCTCTATATGATGAAATATCTTTGGTATCCAAATGACTTTTTTTTCCTTCCCCGTCTCAACCATTTTCATCCTACTCAAGGTCAAAATATCTTTGAAATTATCTGCTAAAAATCAAAGGGAATAAAAGAAATAATCTGGAAAGATAATATAAGATGACATCATTATACAGCATATAGTATTGCTTTCTCCATTACTATGTTAGTACAGGTAATAATTACCATTAACAAATTACTTCTTGTACGGTAAGTTAAAAAATGTTTCTGAAAATGAGGATATTAATTGAAATGCTTTCCAAAGCTATGTCCAGATTCTTTTGCTCATAAGGTAATAAAAATATCAAAACAATTTTCTGGACAGTATATAATTTATAACACTTTAAAAACTGATATCAATTGATGAATTTTGTCAATGTACTAAGATATTTTAAATTTCAGCTTATATATATATATATATATTAAGGGTGAATGCTTTTTGGTTGATACAGAATGATACACAGTGGCTATATTATAAACATACTTTGAAAATAGTTGTCTGAAGTATATTATATTATACTTTGATTGTGAACAAAAATAGAATAATATAACAACTGGAATGGAATTCTGTACTGCATAACAAGATAAACAGATAAAAAGGGGATATCAGACACCAGAGCCTAAATTTTTTTTTTTTTTTTTTAAAGAACCCAAACAGCGATTTATATTCTTGAAAGCAAAGCCGTATGCAGTCATTCATGGAGTACCAAATGTATATTTCTCATTTCTATAAATTGGCATGTTCAAATGTATTTTTAAATGTTAATTTCCGTAATTGTTGATGTTTCCCGGTACGCGCTTCTGTAGAAACGCGCCATAATCGGATTATGATGCCAATGCTAACTAAATGGACTACCCATTTTTTTCCAGACATACAGTGTACCCGCTTAAAGTCTGCCAAAATCCATTAACTGCGCTCCTGTAGAAAGAGTTTGGTTAAATTCCGATAGGGTTACTTTCCCGGTCAACAATACCGCTACTTTCCGGGTCTCCTGCACGATGTATGACAGTAACTATTTAACGCAATGAATTTGAATAGTCATAGTATCAAATTGAAGGTATAGACGTGAAATAAACATGAAAATCAATTTCACGATGACATGATTTTTATTTTATTTATTCATTTGAAAGAAGAATTATGGTACGTTTGAATGGACAAAGAGACTGGCATCTGGGTGCTCAACAAACCAATGGAGTAATGCAGCTCATTTAATAAAACTGAAATTTGCCTACGCTGTCCTTTCCAGTCATCGATGTGAGGGCACCAACAGCAACAACAACAATAAAACTTAATCACACAGCTACACAAGAAATACCAAACCAAATAATTCAGTAACCGCACATAAAATCTACTCTGTATGACGCGAGAGAGAGAAACAGAAAATATTGATGCAATATTAAAAGACCATGTGGTGGTGTTAAACACATAAAGACATTAGCATTACATAACCAGTCAAATAATAGTAATGATACAATACAATTAAATATGCAATAATAATTGAATTGATAAAATATCTTGGTGCCAGGCCAGCTGGCAAAACTTTTCATAAACAGAAAGGAATGAATGAGTCAGTATTTTTCCCTCACAAAAACAAAACAAAACAATACGAAATAGAGAAATCAGATACCATCATAAACCAACCAAGACCAATATGAAAAACAGTTGAAATAAAAGTTGACAAAAAACATATCAATTTTCCATGTACATAAAGACACTTTTCTTGTTAAATGAGTTTCATAAGTCCACTTTTTAAATAGATATGCATTTGATGATTGACTGATTCTTACAAGTACAATAGTGAAGAGAAGTTACAGAGATGGGCGAAGGACTTAGAACACTGGTACAACCCTCATCTCATCAATAAGCAGAAGAGTCAAATTAATACTTGGTCAAGCTATAATATCATTTTTGCAACAAATACTAAATTTTAACTTACGAGAACGGTGGTATTTTCACCTTGAGTGCTTAAAAAGTCACCGTAGAAGATAATGACTTTGTTTCTATTGCCTCATCTCCCTTACATCACTCATAATTGAGGAAAGTTAAAAATCTCTTTTTCTGACCAAATATGTGATAATTTAATGGGAATCTCACTTGGCGATTTAATTTTTAAAAAACACCATCCATGGCTTAACACAAACACCACGATGGATCACATATAGTCGAATATCAATCCACCATTACGTCACTCCTCCAATAGTAAGTTTGTGGGACTTTGAGACTTGTCAAGTACCAATTTTCGCAATCCTGAGGGAAGAGAAGAGAGTGCTCCTGGAATGTGTTGTTTTTTGTATTTAACAGTTCTTTGTCAGGGTTGGCAGTTGAAAGATAAATGTTAAAGTTGCTCAAGCGTGAGTATATAGAGGGCAGCACACAGACCAGAGCGTAATACCCATTGGCCCAGTGTTATGAAGTAATCAGGAGTGATTTCCAAGTTTCCTACTTCACGAAGGACTACATACCCATGCATGAACATCTTTAAGAGTTGATACGGAACATGCTCTGCTCCCTGCTTTCAAAATTTTATTGTACATGATTACCTCCAGCACCACATCTTATCCAACTTCTCAATAATTACTGTAGACATGCAGATGAGGCCAACTTGTCAAATCAGTGAGATCAATAACTCAACTCTTCTAAAAAATTGAACACATTTCATCATGTCGTAGATAAATTCTATCAGTGAGCTACACCAATCTTTGAGATTAACTGTCTCAGATGAATGGTCTTAAGTAAACAACTAGCATTATAGCTATTATTATTTGTCCTAACCAAACTTCGCTGGCTGCAGACGTTCGTCTCTTGCCATCAACAAAGATGGCTACTGAACCTGAAGCAGCCAAGCATGACGGATGGTAAGGATAGGGCAAGACTATTTTAGGTTATTTTACCAATCGAAATTGTCTGAAGGCTGCATGTTGGAGGGAGATGAAGATTTTAATACGATACAACATGTCTTTCTTATGACAGCCATGCCTAAAGTGGACTGGATCGAGAAGGCTATTTGTTTGAAGACTGTGCATGATCCATATGGTGAATAAACGTGGCATATCTCTCTTGATTTGTTCATTAGATTCCATAGATCGTCTCCCGCGGGTCTTCCAAGATTCTTAAGGTCTCTGTCTTCATTGTAACGCTTTGGTCAGATCCCCCATGAAGAAAACGGGTCTTGAGGTGAACACTTGTCATCAGCGACAAATGACAGTTGTTGTTATAAGCTACTGATATCCTCGCTCCTGATTGGTTATCAGCAGACTTGTCACTGATATTTGTCATTTGTCATTGAAAAAAGGCTTTGTGAAACGGGTTCCTGGACATCTAATGAACCCACATCAGCCACTGACCCATCCATCATCTTCAGTAGTCCTATAGGTGGCGCTTTATTTTTATTGTACAATAGTCTCCACAACAACGGAACAAGTCTCTCTCTTGCCGCCGCAGCAATGTCAGTTTCTCGGGGATTCCCCCGGGGGCGTGTGGCGATCGTCCGTTCATCATAAGACCGATTCGGCAGAGCGGGATAGGTGGAGGGGGTGGGAGGGGCTCCGGTGTAGGCCCTTCTTCTTTGGTAGTCTGAGGATGGTTTTCTTGATGTGCTGGAAGATGGGGCGGCTGTCCGGAGAGTACGACCAACACATCATCAGGATCTCCTGCAGAGACAACAACAAAATAAGTTAAAGGTATAAACCAGTTATGGTCATGCGACTGCATTGTGAAAGAAACGTTGTGGAATCGATCAGAAAAGGTTGATCATCTAGCATATAAGTGTTGGTGTGTACTGCAAAAGGGGATCATGGGGAACCAACAGGCACCAATTAGGCATTGTTTGCCATATAGAGGGTGCAAGTAGCTATAAGTAGTGAAGTGGGGCTTTAAAAGTCAGGTTTAGAGATACCATACCTTGACATCCCTGGAAGCCTGTAGGTGGTTGAGTGGTTGTTTTAAGCCTTTGCCGACCTGCCAGATAACCGTCTCAACAGGTTGTTTGTGGAAGGGCCACTCTCCTGCCAACAGCTCATACCATATCGTCCTGGTAAAAAAAAAAAAAATGGTTCAATGAACATTCAAACGATAAGAATGGCAAGCATAATAATACTTGTTGATAATAAAGCAACCAGATGCCTCCTACATATAAAAATTGTGATTCAATTTTTTTTTTTCTTTAAAGCCTATCTGCACTAGTTTGGCCAGAAGGGGTTAGTCCTCCCTGCATGGTCGCTGGCAGGTGGTTATCTCATCAAATCAGCTCTCAATTAACATAAGAAAAAGGGGAAGACGGGGGATCAATGGATACCACTTAGGCATTGTTGATATAGAGGGCGCAAGTAGCTACAAGTAGTGCAGTCCCGCATTAAGGTGACAAAACAATTGATGATCTTTATCATTCTTTTTCCCATCCATATAAAAGAATTTCATGGGACCAATGCGTAATAAAAATGATTGCTCTTGCAATGCTGTTATAATTTTTTGATATGATTAGCAATTGCAGTTTGGACCAAATTTCCTATGCCACAATGAGATGCAGTCACATATACCCATACATGCATGTGTGTGGAGTGCTTGTAATGGTTCACAATCTCCAGCAAGATTTGGGCAATCTGATACAATTTTGATGATCTCAGAACCTCATATTTATTGTTAATTACTACAAAACCAACCAACCATCAAGAATAGCTTCTAGATAGTGTCTACAACAAAAATTCACTGAAATCTTTCATTTAAAGCCTATGTGCATTAGATTGGCCAGGAGGGATTAGACCTCCCTGCGTGGTCACTGGACAGGTGGTTATCTCATCATATCAGCTCTCAATTACCATAAGAAAAAGGGGACCATGGGGGAACAACGGGTTCCTCTTAGACTTTGTTTGCTATATAGAGGGCGCAAGTAGCTACAAGTAGTGCAGTCCCGCTTTAACCCTAGTGATTCGATGGAAGTTCTTACCCGAAGGAGTAGACGTCAGACTTCTCTGAGAAAGGCAGCTCCATGTCTTGGGTTCCATCCGTGTTGATCTTGAGCGATGTGATGAGCTCTGGAGCAAGGTAACACAGCCATCCGTCCGGTATCACCAAACTATCCTTCCGCCTGAAAACCAACCAACAAAACAAGAGATACAAGATGTTAAAGGGATTGGGTATCGGTGCCTCAGATTCTTAACAAAATCCTGGATTTAGCTCATGCTGCAATGATAATTATAAACCTTTAGGTCAGTCAGGAACCCCATTACTTTATCAAGATACTTATGGTTGGAAATTGAAATCAAGTTTTGCGTTTTCCTAATGGTTTTCATAACACTACAGTCTATTGGGGAAAACAAGTATGGTAAATCCGGCCACTCAAAGATTTTTACTTTTTTGAGGCACTTTTTTATCGTTTGGAAGTGCAATTTTTTTTCGGGAGGGGCTTCAATATTACACCATATCACAGATACTGATAACACGTAGGGCTGTGCATCTCAGATTTAACATTGTTAAACAATGCCTTTAAGAGAATACTTGATACTTTCCGTCTTTCTCAGTGAGTGTTGTTGGATGGACTCCACACTCAACAGCACTTGCTACAATAAATCATAATTACGCCCCCCCCCCCAAAAAAAAAAAAAACATTCCGTTTCTGTGCTGCCGTAATGATCGTTAATTTCCGTACCAATTACGGGAAATCCCTACTAGTTGGCAGCTCTGGTTATGGTAGGTTATATGATGCACAATTTGCGGTTTTTGACTTACGTTTTCTGCTTGGACAGCCTGCCTATACTGAAGAGAGCAAAGTCTGTGAGCACCACCTTGCCGTTCTCAATGAAGATGTTCTTGGACTTGAGGTCTTTATGCACTATCCCCTTGTGATGTAAGTAGCTCATACCCTATGAGAAGAAGAAAGAATTAAGAACAATGTTATAAAAGCTGAGAGATATGATGCTATTATAATCAACATCTTTCTAATATCACAACAAACAGATTTTAATGATATCCTTGCTGGGCAAATCACTATTTATCATCAAACATTATTATTAATAAAGATGTTCTTGGACTTAACGTCTTTATGCACTATCCCCTTGGGATGTATGTAGCCCATACCCTGTTAATTAGAAGAAGGGGTTAGGACAATGTAATAAATATTTAAAAATTTGATGCTGGGGGAGTGGGGAATAAAGGAAATTAGATAGCAATTATGCTTCTTTACATGTTTGAAACAAAAGCTGCAAGAATAATCCAGAATTAAGAATGTACCTTTTTCCAGAAGTCATAAGCTATATTTCCTCGGCCATAATGAAATATAACTACATTACACTTATCACATACTAAAATGAATGTTAAAACATGTACTACATTTGTTTAGAGTTAAAGTTTGAATACCCAGATTATACTCTTCATGAAGGAAAAGCAACTTTTGAGTAAAACTAGTCAACGGAGGCACATACAAAATTTGTCACACAATGAAGTTAATTCTCTTTCTCATGAATACAAATTAGAATGTCCGACACAATTTTTTTTTTTGCTTTATTTGTCTACTGATATCAAAATTATTATAATCATCTTCATTGTCATCGTCGTACCGTCACTGTCATCGTCACCACCCCCAACTATCACCATCACCATCATCATCATTGTTATTTAAGAGATCGGTTGCTTTACAGTCTCTCTGAATAATGGCTTCCCAGGCTTTGAAAGGAATTCTTTCCGTCACATCTCTCTTACCTGGGTTATTTGTGTAGCTATTTGTATTGTCCTATTGATGTTGAAGCGGTCTTTCCTGAGGTGTATATGAGTGTATAACGTCTGTCCTTTGCAAAGACTGAAAGATAAAAATTAAGAAGATGAGAAAATTTAGCAATTTAAATAGCCTGTTGACAAATAGATGCATACAATGGCTACATAAGAACAGACTAAGGCAAATTAATATCATATTATATGATCTCGGTTGTATTATTTAATGTTTTACAGAAAAGAGTATTCCCACAGTTTTTTTAAAATCAACAAACTTTAGCGCTAGATGTGATTTAGCTAGCTTGAAAGTATTCTGCGCTTTCCAGGGTTCACCTTTTATGCAACGCTCCAAACTAACGTTATTTTGGAAAGGGGTCTAAATTGAACTTCTTAGAGTATGTATGTATGAGCCCTAAGTTACAATTTTGTTCGGGGGTCCAGACTTAAATTTTGGTTGCTTGAATGTCCAAGGCACCTGTTAGCTTCATGCCCTGTCTTATGACAGCCTAGGGGTCGTTTCCCAAAAGGCTAAGATCGACTTTAAGTTAGACTTAACTATGAATTATTAAAAAAAGGAAACTCGAAATTTGTGACTATGATTTGTACGTCGCTTGATAGACCAATCATAGTAAATGGTGAGAGAAAACAGTAACATGAATGGCCTGCCATAGTTAAGTCCAACTTAAAGTGGACCTAAGTCTTTGTGAAACACCCCCCTGGTTTTATAAAAAGCCGAGGTAATAATGAATGCGCCTCAGAATAGAATTTCTAGATAGACGGCGCTATAGAAATGTCTATTATTATTATTATTATTATTATTAACTGATCCAAACCTGACATGTAACTTGACAATATAAATTCAAACATAACTCTGAGTCATATCAGATATTGATACTGGAGCACGTGCTGTACAATCAATAGGTGGTATGAAACTGTACCAAGGGGGTGTTTCACAAAGTTCCCAAGTCGAACTTAACTCTAAGTTGGACTTCAATATTATGGAGAGCCATTCGTAGCATTAAAACAAAATATATTCAAAGGCGAAAATTCAAGTATTTTAGACTTTTTATAAATTCCACATCAAGAACATGAAATCTCCTGATAATAGAAAATATAATTGATTTAGATCAGCATTTTATGCCTTTTAAAATATTTTCATAGATGCTAACGGCTTTCCATAATCTTTAAGTACAACTTAGAGATAAGTTCACCTTAGGGTCTTTGTAAAACACCCCCCTGGTATGAAGACAGAACATGTCATCATTTTTACCTTGTAACAATAGCTAGATGAGGGGGCCTCATGCAAGCTCCCATAAACAGAACCACAAAATCATGCCTTGTTTTCCTGAAGTAGGACACCTGATCAGGAGAAGAAGACAAAGTAAAGAAAAAAATATTAACAAGAGTAAGATGAGAACAAATATTAAACAACATAATAGAATAGTATGACCATAGTAGAAATTTGATTCTATGTGGCGCTTACTAAATTCTCTAAGATAATACCACCACAATCATTGGATTTATTCTTGCACACAAGGAGTGCACCCTAACCACATCATGAGCACTGTTCTGAATGACACAAGGTCACAAAAGGGTTTTTGACTCTTATGATGGTCCTCTCGATTTAAAAAAAATATATAGTAAAAAGACAAGGGAGAGTTAAAGAAAAGGTCATGTGATTATCTGTGGTGGGGGAGGGGGTATTGTCCCCCCCCCCCTCTCATTACAGTAAGGGTGCTCACCTCTCTCTTGAAAGCTTGTAACTGCTTCTCATCGTCAGTATCGATGTCCATCATCTTGATTGCAACGTCCCCATGCCACTTTCCTCTGTAAAACAAAACAAAGTTAATAAGTCGCTATTTTAACTTGAGAAGTCTTTATTTTTTTTAATACGTCTTTAATACTTCTGAAAATTTTACTTCCAAAAGTGTGAAATCAAAATTTCAAATTAAAGTGAAGTAAAATGGATCATAGAGAAAGATAAAGAGGGTGAGAGAACACAACAAACAGCTACATATTGAAATTGGGGTAGATAAAGACAGAGATAAAAAGAGATACAGAAAACTAGAGAAAAAGAAATAGATAGAGAGAAACAGAGATAAAAAGACTTTCTAAAAACTTTCTAAAACATCAAGTTTAGGGAAACAAGAACTAATGACAGACGAAAATAATTAATAAATAGGAAACTTACTTGTGTACTGCCCCGAATCGACCTGTTCCTATTAGGTCTAGTATCTCTAGCTGCTCAAAAGGAATGTCCCATTCTGATAAAAGTTTTTGCTATATAAGAGAGAAGAGAAGAGAAGAAACAAGTTAAAAATACAACACCATAGTTACAAAATTGGACTATTCTCAATTCCAATCCCAATGGTAGACAAAATTGATAAACACACTTCAGGGCAAAATCAATATTTTTCAAGACATTCAGTCATGTTTTAGATGTACCGGTAAACAACTTTGCTTTTCTTTATTTATTTTTCTTTGTTAAAATGATACATTTTGTATGACTGCCAGCAATGGTTTGAACCGATTGAAAACTACTGTATTAGCCGTTATATTCATGAAGGTTTTTTCTTCCGATATTTTGTGAATTTTTGTAGGGTTGCGAATATAACAACACACAAATGCGAGCTGGTAATGCATAGTGAACGTGCCAAATAATCACGAAAATGTCTGTGTTCTTGTCATCCACAATTATATCACTACAGCAAAATATTGACTTACATAGAACAAAATATAATGGGGTCTCTTAACTAGTTTTCATGATAATAACAATAATAAAAGTCAGCTTTTATATAGCGCTTAATACATCTCGGATGTCTTTAAGCGCTTTACAGATACACTATTACCCCAGTGATTGGACCCAATCACACTATGTGTGCACAATATCCACTCCCTGGGGAGCATTCCAGTCAGGCGTTACTTGACGCTCAAAAACTGTTTGACCAACAATGATGGTCGCATCCTACGGGATACCCATTTTAACACCTGGGTGGAGAGTAGCAAGTGTAGATTAATATCTTGCCAAAGGATATCAGTGCCGTATCGGGATTCGAATCCTCGACCTACGCTTCTACAGTCAAGCGCCTTAAACCACTCGACCACTCCCCATAGAGATAACTTACACTATTTTTACGAGTTGCTAATAATATGTTAGGTTCTGGATCAGAGACTTCATCCACAGGTTCAACCTGCTCCGGGAGTGTTCTCTCTGAATCCGTGAAAGGCTGCATAAGAGGGGGAAAAAGAGGATAAATTGAATATCAGACTACCACTGTTCAATGTTCAATGTTCTTTATTATTATATATAATCAATAATTCCCAAATTGGTTTAAGACGTAAATACATGTTATGGGTACCCGACCTCCTCAGTATATCTCTCTTACTTGTTAATTTGTTTGATCACCTGACACCTCCTCTTGCTCTGCTTTAATAACTGTGTTAACTATTGTCCTGAATTTGTGTTTATTACACAACATTAGACCGTCTGTTAATTGTGCTTAATCATATGTTAAACCTTGTTTATTTACTGTTAATGTCTATAATTTATGTAAACTCATTTGTAAATGTTAATCTGTATATGTTATACCAGTGAAAATCAAATATCCAGAAATGGACAATAGATACTAATTACAAATACATGACATTAGAATAAAAATTGCGAAGGGATGTGGGTGTAGCCAATTAGAAGAATAAATTTCACTGCGGAGAAAGCATCTCATAAAGAAGTTCATATAATCATAGAAGGGAAAGTTCGATACTTTTCATCTTTCTACATGCGGAGGGGGAGGGGGGGTGTAAAATAAGCACAGAGCTACCTAAATAATAGTATAAGATGTTGAAAACTTCGTTATTGAATGAATGGAAGAAAGAAAAAAAAAGCAATACATCCTTTTTAAATTACCTAGAAATGAGTCAAACCCGTCTTTGCGGCCACCTCTCTATAAAGGCCGCTTTTCAATTGTGACCATGTACTTTGTATCTCTCCAGAAAAAGTGTGTGTTGTAGAACCTGTCTAGAAAGGCCAACTATTTACAGTGGCCACTTTTTCTGTTTCCCTTGGGTGGCCTTTATAGACAGGCTTGACTGTATCCTAAGAGGGGCTGTATTCTTTCTTACTTATTGATTCCCAACTGTGATATACAGATGGAATGAGAATATTTTCTCTGCATACATACATTAAAGCCCCACTGCACTACTTGTAGCTACTTGCGTCCTCTATATAACAAACAATGCCTAATCGGTGACCATTGGTCCCCCATGATCCTCTTTTTTGTATGTTATTTGAGAGCTGAGTTGATGAGATAACCACCTGTCCAGTGACCTTACAGGGTGGTCTAATCCCTCCTTTACACTAGTACAGATGGCCTTTAAGTATAGCTTGGTAAACAGGAAGAGTATACTTACATCATGGGTATCGTGTGAATCTACAGTTATCGTCCGATCACTACTCGTCGATGTGACGTTTTCACTGGACCAAGGAAGAGCAAGGATAAGGAAAATAAATAAATAGGAAAAAAGTTAAAGTGACTCAGTAACATTGTTGAAGGTTAATGCATTTATTTTGCCCCAAGTTTTGACTTTCAGAGGCATAGTTAATAGCAATAAACATGGATGAAAACAACTTCATATGAGATATCCCAATATTATCCAAGGTATGCATGTTTCTTCAAAGGTATTTGTTTGCTATAAATGGTCAAATTTAAATTCAAGCATGTTTATAGATGCATTTAGATCTTACAATAGTAGCAGATCTGGCAGATCTGTTTTTTTTTAAAATCATTTTAGGGTATCCGGCCAACCGGTTCGAGTTGGACACAATATGGCGACTACTGATTTGTTGGGCAAGCACAAACAAAACAAAAGAATATACGCCATCTTGGGACCCAGTGAAACCAAGTTGGCCAAACTCTGATTCTTGCCAATAAAATGTGGAAGTTGTCCTTAAATAAGTAAACCACATCATGAAACCAAAACAAGCGATACTCACTTATTGTCTAGGAAGTCGCTCACGTCATCGCTCACGTCAGGTGGGAATTTGAACTGAGGTACCATCATCCGAGGCGACGGCGAAGGCAGGGCGGGGCTGGGGCTGGGAAGGGGAATCCCCGATGTGGAGATGAATGGGGCAGGACTTGACGGCGTCGACGAGGTGGTCGATGAGGGATTCGAACTCGAGTCACCCGTCGATGATGCAACGTTGACAACCGTGGGTGGGTCGGTGCGAGCTGGAAGACAAAGAAGACAAAGTTGGGACAAATCGGCAAAATTGGGATCGGACTTGAAAATGAAAAGGCTAATTAATATACCTCCCATTATACACCCAACGCATAAAATCGTGCTCCAGTTTGATTATTGCACAATATGAAGCTTTGCAAATTTTTCAAGTTGATCTAGATTTGCAAAAGTGTCATGCTGTTTTTTAAAAAGGAAGCACAACACTCATTTTCGCCAAAAAAAATTGCTCATTCATGAATAATCTAGAAATGTTTTATTTAGTTTCATACCAGAAACAGAGATAATCCGTAACAATTCACCAAAGTTTCATGTTGCAAAACTGTCAAGTATTACAGCATCGTCCATTTATAGGGACAATTAACATTTTTATCAAAACATCCTTATCAATGTGTTTGAATCAAGGAATTACAAACTCCCTCATCACCTGGCTTAAATAGAATATGCTATATTAAACAAATCATTCACTTACAATCAAACCTGCTTCGATCATAAATGTATATATACAGATGCATGCTTCATGTAACAATATTATAAAGATTACATTTTTTTGTTAAAAATCTCTCATCATACATTTGTAATGAAGAGAGAAAGCAAGATTTCATGAAAAGCTTTTCCATACACCAATGACATGCAATGCAAAGAACATACACACAGCGAAAATTTGTTGGTCTATGTACTGTCTGCAATATATATTGCCCTTCTACATCTCTCTGTGCAGTATCAGTATATATCCATGTATTTTTTCAGGTCATAAAGTGCTCAAATACATTTTTCTTGAGATAACATCAAGAAAACTATAATAAGAGTTCACACACTTTACTGTAAGCACTGCAAATTAAAATAGTTGTCATAGCAAAGATTTTAAGACATATTTTTAATTTGGAAATCAAAAGACAAAGAAAACTCCTTTGAAATTCTAGCATCAAGTGGTTTTATTTTTAGCCCCCTCCCCCCCCCCCCCCCCAAAAAAAAAGGGCATGCACGTGCATATGCATCTAATACCACTTGCCTGCATTTATGATGTTATAACATTACTAATATTATCTGTTGAGAGCCAGAATGCTATTAAGGTACTTGGATTTGGGGAACAGGCTAGAGTTTTAGTGCTCACTGAATGAATATTGCAGTAATAATAATTATAATGATACATATATTCTGGGTTTAGATAGTGCTTATAATGTCTTAAAGCGCCTTACAGATAATAGTGCGAGGTTTCATGCTTTTTCTGCTCGTTTCTAAATCTACTCTTTGCAACTACCATGCAGGGATGATGATGGAATAGCACAGACCCCTATAGGCTCGTTCTGATATGGCACAGAAAACCCCAACTAAAAGCTGCCATTTTTTTTTTTTAATTGTGTAAATGAATGGCAAGTGCGTGGGTGCGTTTTAATAGTTCCAAATATTAAGAATCCCCTAATGAAATTTATGACATCTAGAAAATATTCACAGCATCACAGATTTTCATACCATGCCATCTCAGAACCTTACTCTCCAAGCATTGCTGGAGGGTGCCTGACATAGCGAACTGGTATGAAAGGTGACAAGTTTTTTTTCCTGATGCAGATATGCCTTTAATATAGCACCACTGCAGAACAGGCATAAAGGGTCTGTGCCGGTCACACACAAAAAGTCCATATTCTACTCAACAATTCAAAACCAGACACTGGGTTGAAGCTCAGTTCATGACGAGTTATTTGTAAATTAAGACACAACTAGGACCTTGTTTACACATGGCTAGAGCTGCGCTTAAACCCAGGGTTGGATCCACAATTTAGTAGACTATGGGCTCAAAGAGTCATGCTTTGGTGTGTTCTCACTGCTACAACCTGCTCTAAAACACATTTATGTGTGGTGTTAACCTCTCCTTTGAAAATGCATTCTTGAAAGAGCATTCCATTTTGGTTTCAATCTGAATTTTTGTTCTTCTTTAACGTTTTTGATAAAGAACACAATCATTATCAAGTGTATGGGAATAGACTTGTATCGCCAATAACTGGTTAAACATTATTGCAGGTTTGAGTCGAATATTCACTCTTCACAAGATCAAGTAGTAGACAGCAACCATGAAATACCCTGACATGAAGGCTAATAAAGTCACACACACGCATGTAAATATGCATGACACAGTAATTGACTAGAGTGAGAACACATCACGAGGAGAGGCGATGGCAGTGGTTCCTAACTCTTTCCACCCCACGACCCCATTTTACATTTTTCATGTTTTGCCTTACATTCCCCAAATCAATTTGTTTGTCAGAGCACATTAACCCTTGTAATTTAATATTACATAAATTCAAATGTTTTATTTTTCATTTTTTATATAATATAAATAATTTCTGACTTGTCATCACACCCCTCCCCCCCCCCCCAGAAAACCTAGGTTCCTCGCATGGGTCATGACCCCTCAGTTAAGAACCACTGGATGATACCTCAATCACACCAGCAAACCAGACCGAACGATTCTTGGCCATCTGGGGTAATGTCATCTAGCGTTTGGTCTACAGTTAGCCAGGACCCCGTTTCACAAAACTTGTCATCAAAAAGAAGTTACAAGCTACTGAAATGGTGGCATTTGATTGGCTAAGAGCAAATTTGCCATCGATATTGAGCATTTGTCATTGATAACAGGTTTCATGAAACAGAGCCCTGCTGGCATCAGTCTACAGTTGGCCAGGGCCCTGCTTCACAAAACATGTCATCAATAACAAGTTACAGTAACCCGTTACAAGCTACTGAAATGGTGGCATTTGATTGGCTGAGAGCAAATAAGCCATCGATATTGAGCATTTGTCATTGATAACGAGTTTTATGAAACAGAGCTCTGCTTTGGTCTACATCTGGCCAGGGCCCTGTTTCACAAAACTTGTCATCAATAACAAGTTAGAGTAACCTGTTACAAGCTACTGACATAGTGGCATTTGATTGGCTGAGAGCAAATATGCCATCGATATTGAGCATTTGTCATTGATAACAGGTTTGATGAAACAGAGCCCTGCTTTGGTCTACAGTTGGCCAGAGCACTGTTTCACAAAACATATCATCAATAACAAGTTACAGTAACCCATTACAAGCTACTGAAATGGTGGCATTTGATTGGCTAAGAGCAAATTTGCCATCGATATTGAGCATTTGTCATTGATAACGGGTTTCATGAAACAGGGTCCAGCTGGTTTAGGTCTGGTCGGTGTGACCAAGGGGTGGTAAAGCATCAAACAAAGCGTGCATGTAAGTTGCTGTGTATATTTCTACCTGGCTTGTGACTCATAATGGGAGATGCGGTGCGACCTGTTGGACAACATAAAGAGGGAAGGTAATAGATAGGCAAGCACACATTAAAAGGACACTGTGTACTGAGCAACAAAACACACAACTAATTCACTTTAAGCATCGTATACAAAATACATAAACAACTTCTAACTATTCTCTAACACCAAAGTCGAATCCCCCCTCCCCTCCAAAAAAAAAATAATAATGATTTTAAAAAATATTTTAAAAAAATTTAAAAAATTTAAAAAATATATTTAATGAATAAAAAGAATAAAAAATAAAATGAATAAAATAAAATAAAATAAAATATTAAAACAAATAAAAATAATAATAATTAAAAATTCAAAAATCATAATGATAAAATGGGAAAGTGGCAATGGGAAAGTGGCATTGGGGTTGAATCTCAGACGTTACTAATCTTTTACTTCACAACCAAAAGATTCACAAACATTTAAAAATAGGACACTGGGGAAGGGGACATCTAACAAGGTGGCAAAATGGGTAATCTTGGATGAGTACATAACACTGTCTTTGCTTTGCAGTCAATTATTTCAAAGTTTTCTTTCCAACAAAAAATCTTTAAATACTTTACAGCTCATGCAGCTTCAAACAAAAAACTTATTTAAGATTTCCTTTTGATAATCTTTTTATATATAATCCAAATCGTTCTTTCTTCATAAATCATGTTGCAGTCATTTGTATAAAGTGCAGAGGGCATTACACATTTTGCGGCCTGTCGTGCCAGATTTATAATGAGAATTTTCTCAAACTAAGGCAGTTGCTTAAGTTTTGCTAGTGTGCATTGCGCTATATAAATCAAAGAAACTTAACATATTTTACGGTAGTTGCAAATAGCGTAGGTGTAGAACAAAATATTTTAACATTCTTTAACAAAAAATCATTGGTTTAAGTCTATTTTTTAATGAATTTGAGTTAAAATGCCAATAAAAACTACCGGTAGTCTTTATTTCTAAAAATCAGACACTGCTTGCCAATACGACATTGGGTGACTATTGCACGACTTTAAGAGAAATCTTGTTGAACTACACTGCAATGGACTGATGTAAACATTGGATGGCTATCCCAAAGTCTGAATGTGAAGGAAAAAAAGCCCACTGAAACAAAATCCTCTTGCATTTATTGTAGCACTTTTGCAACCAAATCATCATCTCAAGTATCAAGATCCTATTGTTGGTGAATTTTCCCAGGGTTCATCGAATAATGTATTTACGTCATTTCAACAAAACTTGGCCAAAAAATGTTATTTGAGCCTAAAAACATAAGCCAGCAATCAATCTAACCTAAAAATATCTCCTTTTTAACATCATTTTGGATTTCAAATATTTCTTGTTGTGATGAAATGTCAGAATAATTTAAGGCCTCCCACACAGTCAAACATAAGACATTCCATCAAAAGTCCATGTTTTGCTATTTGGCTTCTCTGTAAAGGCATGTATTCTGTTTATTCCACAGGAACTAATGCAGATTCTTCTGCTTGCTGCTACTTTAAGAAAAGATCAGTAAAAAAAAAAAATGCTTTTAAGTATTGTACATTCCATTAATGCCACCATTGTCAAATATACAAATTAAGACCGACTATCAAGGAAACTTTATCTCTTTCTAGATTTTCCGTAGGTGGCAAAAAATCATCCTCATTTCATGTTTGAATTATGAAAGAATGAAAGAACACTAATTTTATAGATATACACAGGAGTTTGAATGTCTCATAAATAAATACTATATATAAAATATTACGCTGAAGCATATCTTAAAATATATCCTAATAAATTCTTAATTTTTTTTCTTCATCTAACAAAGAAATTAGCATTTTTGTGTTGTGCATATGTGTAAGTTGGCAGGGGAGGGGGCGATAAATCTATAATCTTACTAAGGAGTGTGCACAGCATTTATATAAAACACACAAAAAATATGTATACTTGGGACTACTATAAATAGTACAAAGCCAAACAAACAACTACATCACATCAATTACAAGTTGGCAACTTTATCTACGGAAGCGTGCATAGTTTCAGCTTGTTTCTAGCAGGCATACTCACCGCTATTTATCGTCTCCCTGAAGATTTCTTCATACTTTCTTGGCAGTCCGCACGAAGGGACCTTCTCCGCATGGAATTTACAGTTGCTATGACAGATGTACCTGATGAATGAAAGAACATTCCGATGTAAAGTTACAGGTTTTATGAACGACAAAAAGAACAAAAAGGTGTGATACAATCCAAATACAGAATTTAAAGACATAATGAATGTAAAATGACAAATTTGATACGATTTTTTTTTCAAAGGCAAGTAATAAGCATCTCGAAAGACAAGGATATTGGGTACATCTTTGTTCCATTTGTTTTACAATGGATCCACATACTTAATTGCACAAATGTCCTATGGTGTATTTCTCCCCAATCAATTTCTCACTCTATTTGAATCAAAGACCAAACAATTTTATGAATCTCACCCTCGTCCTTAACCTAACCTAATATATAAATGATGCCTGTGATTGAGTTCATTATACGACCTATCCATACTCACGTTGAGGCTGTAAGCATCTATTGTACCAACTCGTTGGGCTGAGTACGATAGTCGTATAAGGCGTTTAAAAACAAAAATGTTTTATTGCCCTTTGCCACTGACCCACAATTTTAAAACCTACAGTCGGCTTTTTGAATTTTTTTTTTCTTAAACGTTTTTTTAGAAATTGTTTTTTAATGAATAAAAAAAATATGTATTTTGTTTGTTTAGATGGGATATAAATGCAGAAAATCATCAAATTATTCCCCAAAAAGCTTGGTACAAAATATCACCATTACGATTGCCTGATCACCCAAATACTCACTTGCAGTCTTTGCATTTGTAGCGCTGCAAGATGACGATCTTCTCGTGGCAGTAGTCGCAGCTCTGCGGCTTCATTGACGTCTTCTTGCTGAACCTATGAGGGCGCAATGACCATCTGCTTGCGTAAGTTTGTTGACGAATAAAGGTATAGTGGGGAAGGCGTGGTAAGGGGGAGGAGGAGGAGGGGGTAAAGAATATTGGGAGGGGGGGGTAGAGTGAAGGGGGGGGTAGAGTGAAGGAGGGGGGAAGGGGAAGGGGGCAAGATGATATAGGTTGGTACAAAGTGGAAGGGAGTACATAGGCATGTGACATAGGGACACAGTGCAGAAATTTGCGTACAAAAAAAAGGCACACGTAATAGAGGTGATGATCACAGAGGACGTTATGATAACATTTTTTTGTTGATGTGTTGTTTTTTTGTTTTTTGTTTTTTTTGGGGGGGGGGGTTCATTGAGATGAAATACATAGAAATTGTTTCGAGAAGAAGTTTTGAGAACATTAAGATGAGATCGGCGATTACATTTGCAATGGTGAAAGTATGGTGAAGTGGTGATGACAATGACAATGATGATGGAGAAGAAAACGATGATGATGACAGTGATGATGATAATGATGGTAGAGTCCACAATAGTACAGAGAGGAATGATAGAAAAGGGTGATTTTTTTTTTAAAGAGATGTGACAGGAATGGCAGTTATGAAACATACAATCAAGAGATGATTACAAAGATAAATGAAATTGGTTGCATGATGTACGAGTCAAATTTACATTAGATCCGGAAAATTCATGACCACATCAGAAAGAAAAGAGATGTATTTGTCATGACAGAGTGTTTAATAACAATGATCATTTCAAATTGAAAAGGGGGAGGGGTGAAATGAAAGACAACATTCAAGGCAGGGTGCATGCATTAACAAACAATCAATAATGCAATGTCAAGCATGTGGGATGGATCAAAGTCATGGACAAGGTCATGAAACATTGGTGAAAGTCATAGACAAGGTCATGAAACATTGGTGAAAGTCATAGACAAGGTCGTGATACATATCCAAATGAAAGTTAGCGTTAGTTCATATGATAATGATGATGATGATTTCAAACCAGAGAGCATTCATGAAGGCAGTGTCAATGTGACACGAAAGGGGGAGGGGCCAAGGAAGGAATACGTTAGGATGGGGATGGTACCAAAGAGAGAGAGAGAGAGAGAGAGAGAGAGAGAGAGAGAGAAAGAGAGAGAGAAAGAGAGAAAGAGAGAGAGAGAGAGAGGGGAGAAGAGAGGATGCATTTGTTAGCTGATGAGATGCAGGCAATAAATGTCTAGTCATGATTTTAAAAACTAACCAAAATATAAAGAAGAGTAAATGATTATTGACATAATGCACTAAATGCTTCAAAAAATGACAACTAAAGTAGATGAATATACAACAAACTCAAATGCTTTGCTTATGCTTTTTCATCTACCTTTCGAAAATCTCAACTACAATAAATAAATATAAAAATAGTAAATATTTCAAAATCTAAACTACCTTTGTGCAGCATTAATACAAGTTTTAATACTAAAATAAAAAAAACAAAATTGTTAAAACAACAATAATTTTGTTCATAATACCCAAAATAAAACAAACACATACAGCTGTTGTATTTGTTAATAATTCAAACAAATTACTACTTCAGTTTCAAAGAAATAACTGTGCTTATTGCTGAAACTATTGACCCTACAACATACTGCATGTATTTCTGAGTCATAATCTCTCTATAATAGAAAAAATGTAAAAATAGTCATTGCTTTCTTGATGTATTTTGTGTTTAAAGCACTAATTTTGGCAATGTCAAGCAACTTTTGGAGTTGGGGTAAATTTGCAGATTTTTTTGCTAGCATATATTGAGCAATTTTATGTTGTCGCATATCTTACAGGCCATGTGATTTGTAATGCATGATTTTTATTTTAGAGTAAAAACAAAAGGGATTGGCGACAAGGTATAGATCATGTCAAATAATTAAAGGACAATCCAACCTTTGTAATAAGTTCATTTGAATAAAAGCAGAAAAATACGAGAAACAACATGGCGAATGTTTGAAATAAATCAACAAATAATAAGAAAGTTATGAATGTTTGAAATATGAGATCGTTACATCTATGAGAATCTCAAATTGGCAATTTGGTCAATGGATTGTGACGTAGTCGCGGATAACTCTCCCGTTTGTTGTGTACAAAAATATCACTAATTTCTGTTTTTCTCCCAAGTCAGTGCCCCCACCCTTGGGGTACTACTCAAAACATATTATGGAGAGTATATTATTATACTACAGGTCCTCTAAAAAGAAAAGACTATCCCAAGTCTTGAATATTACCCAAAAAAAATACATTTTAGCGATTTTGTGTGTTAGGACTAATAGAAAAGTTGTCCACCACTATATCACAGTTAACGATTCAGCCAATTTGAAGTGCCCATACGTATTGATTACAACTTTAAAAAATTCATAACTTTCTCTTTTTTGGTCAGATTTTGTTAAAACTGTCACCAGTCTGCTTCTCTGATCTTTCTGCTTTCTTTCATAGTTTTTTTTTTCATTCATGGTTAGATTTCCTATTAATAATAACATCTCAATATCATAAGCTAAAGAACAAATAATTGCATTTGGACTAGTAAATGCATATGCTTCATTCTGGGATTTGGACAGCATTAATAAAGTTCATTGGGAAATTCATTGCAAAAGCATTGAGGGCATAAATAAAATATGAAAATCAAGTACAAAATCAAACTGAGTGAAGACAAAACAAAATAGAAATAGCATCAGTCATTTACAGATAGCCCCATCCTAAACTTTCTCAAAACTTTGGGAGATCAAAATCTAGACTTCAATCACACCTACAAACTCATAAAATAAAAGAGTGGATAAATGGAAAGTGCTCATTAGACATTAGACAAATGGTCTTCCAACCGAATCAACTGGTAGCCATTAAGACTGAGTTAATGGACCACACTTTGTCTCCTTGAAATCTGACAATTCTGCAATGCCAAGGTGAAGATCAAATAGTGATTGATGATGTTAAACGTCCAGTTTTTATCCCGTCAAATGAAGAATTAATTTCTTCAAGGTTTCTGCAAATGGCCGTCACTATCTCAAGGATAATCGGGTAATCCCTGATGGCATAATCCCTGATGTCATTGTTAATACCGTGTCCAAATCAAATATTCATGATAAAATTCAAAATAAATGCACTCCCTTATTTCATGAAATGGTTTAGTAAATAGGCGACCTAAACAATTGCCATCACACCAATCTCCCAATATTATTTGTTGTGTAACTAAAACATTACATGAAAAGGGGGTAAGTAAAACAGGGGAAGGAGGGGTTCGGCTAGCCAGTGACCCTTACCTCTCCCCCCCCCCCCCCCGCCCCAAAACGCACCCCTTTAAACTCCAAATAAAAGACTCACAAACAAAATTACAACATACGAGTTAAGCCAATCGAATTAGGTATATCATTTAAGAGAGTAGATCAAAACAATATCACAGGGTTGAATGTATAGGGAAACTTAAAGTAGCACACTCAAATTTGACACTGGACATCCCAAACTTTAAGATCATGATGGATTAAGTTCTTTTTCACCACAACAACTTTTATAAAGCAATTGGAGCAATAAGGACAAAGATATCGTTTATCTTGAAATCAACACCTAACAACAAACTGCGTTGAGGGAATGTTATTGATTTAGTCACATTTAATATACAAGACGGTAGGTGGGTATCGTTAGTGGAAGGATAAGAGAGGGTTATTTTTTGTTGTTTGTGTCTTTAATATCAATTTGAATCTGTTCAACGTCACATAAAGCCTTTAAAGCAGCATTGAAATTTAATTTGTTTATTAGCAAGTACACCTGTATGCTTTAACATTCTTCTCTTTCAATATCTTCCTGTTTTCTTACTACAAAGCCTTTTTAAGCATAATAAGAAGGAAGATGGGCGCGTCCATAACACATTTTGGAGAGGCAATAAAACGGAACACATTAATGAGCAATGTTTAATACAGGTGGTGATGTAGCAGGGTGGCATATTTGGAAGAATTTGAGCAGGATTTGGCCGAGTTTTAGACAAAAATACACTTTAAAATTTTTGAGATAAAAATGCACAAGATTAAAGCATGGATGTTTGCATTTGCAATTTGTCTTTTGTGTGTGTGCATGATTCTTAAGGGGTTTGTTATCTCTTAAAGAATGGAATTTCATATTTTCTTCTATTTCCTCTGGGTTTCAGTTAAGTTGATGTTTGTTTGGTTGGAAAAGGAGGAGGAGGGGGGGGGGGCAAATTAAAGGGTGTGACCAGTGTTGAACACCAGTGTGCAAGTGGGCCTGTCTCTCTCTCTCAATACTACAGTTACATATTAAAGATGGACATGCTAAATGGATTAACCAAGTTGATGATACGACAAGTGGTTAGGTAACAGGCTATTGGTTAGATATCAGGCTACTTGTTAGGTCTCCTAACCCATAGAAGATGCATGTTAATATAAAAATGAAATGGTCTGTGATGAGTTAACATACATTTGTTTTTTCCTTAATCCTATGGAGGATTAGGATTAGGATTAGGATTAGGATGGGAGAAGAGAAGTATATGGTTTGGAGCTCTGTATGATTACTACCTTGATGTAACTTGTAGATGGCAAGGTATATGAACCCATCGAAAAAGTTCTGCAATTCAAGTTTAAGCGTTGATATCTCTCCTTACTCTATTTGATGTTGGCATTATTGAAAAGCCTGTTCATTCCCCTTTACAATGATGTCCTATTTTTTAATGGATATGTAATCATGGACTGTGCAGCACACCTGAATATTAGGCTAAGTCAACAGAAGAAATGTTGGAAAATGCATTTTTATTCCTTAAAAAAAACACAACCCATCCTCCAAACAAATGAAGAATTCCCTATAGACAATAACAATGCATTTTGTGATATTTCGTTTTGGACCTGCCCCATATTCGGACGTACTGCACATTCCATGATTACATAATCATTACAAAGAGGAATAAACAGACTTTTCAATGATACTGACGCCAAGTATGATAATATATTAACAAGAGATATGTCAATGCTAAGACTTGAGTTGCAGAACTTTTCTTTGAGGGGTTAATTTGCAGATGGCATCTATTTGTACTTTGAAATATATCTGAGGCAATTTTTGGATGTTGAATTATGGCATGGATGTTAAATCAAGGAAAGAAAGTCAACTTGGCAATATATGGGGAGTGTTTCACAAAGACTAAGATCGACTTTAAGTTGGACTTAACTATGGCAGGCCATTCATGCCACTGGTTGCTCTCACCACTATGACATTTACATAATATGTTTCCTTCAATAATGAACTATCAAAGAATGTAAATTCTGTAGATCTGTGACCATGATTTGTGCGTCCCTTGAGAGACCAATGCCAGTAAATGGTGGGAGAAATCAGTGGCATGACATTTACATAATATGTTTCCTTCAATAATGAACTATCAAAGAATGTAAATTCTGTAGATCTGTGACCATGATTTGTGCGTCCCTTGAGAGACCAATGCCAGTAAATGGTTGGGAGAAATCAGTGGCATGTACGGCCTGGCATAGTTAATCCAATTTAAAGTCGATCTTAGTCTTTGTGAAACACTTCCCTGATGATTGATGAGGAGATGTCTGTGTCATCATCCAAAGTGGGCAACTTATATTGGACGAGGGTAGGGAGGGGGGCAAGGAAAGGGTTACGAGGGAACGTGGGGGTGGGGTCAATCATACCTGCCAACCTCCTACACACCACAAAAATAATAATCTCTCAAATAATGAGGAAAATACGATTATTCTTTATGCTATTAATGTAGAAGTTTCAAAAAGAAAGTAGGCCTGTCTTCACCAGCTCGAGTTTGCCAAATAACCCGCTATTGCGTCTTCACCAAACCGATACGCTCATAACAAACTAGCTCAGACGGGCACGAATTGCGGGATATTTTGGAAACAAGACCAATATTTCTCAGGATATTTTCTCGACCAAATATCCCGCTAATTGCAACTGCGGGCTGATGAAAACACAAGTTATCTGGCTTATTTGCGATCAGGATAGTTATACATGTAATAGCGGGGTTATTTGGCAAATTCGAGCTGATGAAAACAGGCCTAAAGAGGAATGTATGGATTGTCACACTAGTTTGAAGGCCAGAAATAGGAACATTCCTCCACAATAGGAATCTTTCCTTTAAATTAAGAATAGGAACGGTTGGCAGGAATGGGTATATTACCGGCACAAAACATGAACAGATGACTGTGTTAGATGAAATAACAACGCTTCCCCAAACTCATTATTCAAAATCCAGATAGCATCCACCAATTTCCAAATTTCTTTTTTTTGGTGCCTATATTAACAGTACATTCTTTTACTGTTGAATATACATACAGAGTATTGAATAACCGAACACCAGAAATGATTTCTCCAAGGTCATATCGGGGAACAAACCTGTGTTTTATTGCGTGGATCATGTTACTTCGATGTGTCGCTCGGGGAGACTTGGGAGGAACGAGTTTTCCTGTAAAAGACAAAGAAAGACAAAGACAATGAGCTATTTCCAATTATTATTTCATACCTGAATAACAGAACTATTTAATATTAAGTGATGCAAAAATCCCTGTAAAAACTCCTTGATGGTCACAACGATGCACGAAATGAAAATATAAAGGAGGTCCTATCATTATCAAGGACAAATACAAATTCCATAGGGTGTCTATATTTAATCAATGACTTCAAATAAGAGACAGCATTACAACACAAAAAGACACAAGGGACACAGACAATTACAACACGAAAAGACACAAAAGACACAGACAATTACAACACAAAAAGACACAAAGGACACGGACAATTACAACATTTTATTAGAAAACATATGTGACATCCATTCTATGAAATGATATAATTTTTATAATTATAAATTAAAATCAAAGAGACAGCATTACAACACGAAAAGACAAATAAGGACACAGACAATTTCAACATTTGATTAGAAACAAATGTGACATCCGTAATCAATAATAAACTGTACACGTACAATGTGATCTAGTCACAGCTCAGTCTGCAACTGTTACAAATTGGACTGGAGACGAGTTTGCTTTGGCCAGCTTATCTGCAGCCATCTACATGTACTACACAACCTTTGGTATAACCATAGGTATTCTGTGTTAACACTAGTCATTTTAAATCAAATACTATTCTTTATGTTGTAAGGCTGATAACCCTTTTGTCTTTTCATACAACATGCAGCGTTCACACTAGCCATTTTTAATCCAATTCTATTCTTTACCTTGTTTGGGTGGCACGCCAATGTCTGTTAGTCTTTCTTCTGATCTACAGGGTGAGGATAGCCGCATTACACTTTGGTCGTCCGAGTACCGTCTGGTATGCTGGTCTCGACTTCTCACTTGAATTCTCCCCAATCTGTAAAGAAAGAGATCATTTTTTTTCGTCACTTGATGCATTCTCAAATTGGCAACACATTGAGACATCAAAATCATTGTTTTTTATCAAAATTTGCCATTTCTTTCAACTTTTCGACCAACTTGTCACATTATTGGTTTTGCCGACATTAAATTTTATTTGAACAATGTCGCATTAATAGAAAACTATTATTATTGCCAATTTGAAGAACAATAGGTGATCAATTTAGCTCTTTAAAAAATTCCTTTCCTGAAAAGGGGTAACATTAATGGTTACATGTGGTCATGTTTGAGAAGCTCTAAATAAATTGGGCCAAAAATATTCTGCATTCCGTCAATACAGGGCATTGCTTACACTAAGAAAATAAAACATCATGAGTCTAAGACAAGCACGTGGGTGTGCTATTGGGTTACATTTCCGAGAAACAAGACAGTTTTGGGGTGAATAGTTGATAAATAACAAGGAAGTAAAAGATAGAATGTCCAGAAAAAGAGCACAACATTCAGGAAACTATGACAATCCTGTTTTCCCTTCAAAACAAGCAGAAGAAATACAATTCTTATACATGTTTTGTTTTAAAGCGAAGATCAGTATCTTCCTAAAAACTGCTAAAATGTTATGTTCGTAGGTAGCTAACTCGAGCATTAGCATGTACTGCCTCAGATTTTTTGGCACAGTGACATGAATCAACAGAGTATTAAGCCACTGAGTGTATACTCTCTGGTAAGTACTTAACAATTAATTAACACGACACACAGCATTGAAAAAGCAAGTTTTAAGGTGGGAATTCACAATTACTCTTTCATCATGAGTACTTCACAAATTGTACTCGAGTTTTCCCATGGAATTGCAATAAAAGATAACAGGCATTACTCGTCATTATAATTTCTTTTACCAAAAAGTGGCAAGTTGGTGCTATATTTTTACTATATCACTACAGCATGGAAGCCACGCCCCCCCCCCCCCCCCAACAACGACCCACAACCTCGGTAGAAGTGTAATTATATGTTATGTATGAACATGCCCAATCACTTCTGGCAATGTGTGAATTGGTTTTGCTACCATTGCTAATCCATTGGTTCAAGTATCAATATATGGCCATTCTATGTTGTGTAGATATACGGGAGAATTCTCTTCTTGTTGTCATTCATTCAGCACAGCTGTTTTAGCAATGCATGGTGGTGGCCAGTCAAAATTAAAAAACGGATGAAATCCAATGAAGGAGATACTGATGTGAATTCCTGAAACCATGGTTATGCCCCCATCCCCCTCCTCCCCTCCGCCCCCCCCCCCCCCCCCCCAACCAATCCCTGGACGTGTCCAAAGGTTAAAGAGTAAACAGAAATAGACGTACGTCGCTGAATCGTAGCCAGGGCCCGACCTCTTATTGAGATGATTATCAGAGTTCCAGTTTGATTGGGCTGGCAGGGGTAGATTGGTCTTCCTCGTCAGGGGCGGGGTCTTGCCCTTCACCCTCTTGTTGAAGGTGGGCGTGTGGGGCGGGGTAGGCATGGGTGGCAGTTTGAAGATTTTATTGTTGAACGGGGGCGGCGTGATGGGCACCGAGGGCACTTCCGAGAGGTCCGAGCTGAGGGAGTCGATCGAGGGCCGCTTCTGCTCGGGGCTGCTGCTCACGGAAGGAGAGTTGGAGCGGGACCGGGACAGGTCGATGACCGTCTCGATGGAGTTGCCCATGCTGACCGCATCGGGGCTCTTGGCACCGTCCTCCAGGCTACGGTCCTTGGAAGGATAGTTGGCTGTTTGGGACGGAATGAGAGAAATGATATCCATTATTAATAACATAAACAAAAATGGTAATACGATGAAAACGGTATATAAGGAGTGCTCAAGAGAGAAAATTATCTTTATAGGCAGGTGGTCGTTATATACAGGTTTGTATATTACAGGTTTCAATGACAAATGATTTACAAGGAAAAACAAATTATATGGTTTTTGGAGCCAGAAGGTTGCTCAAGTGTACAATCACAAAATATATGAGAGTAATAATTTTGGCCTTTAAATGTTGGCATCACTTACCGTAAATCTCCGTGTATAAGGCGCACTTTTTTTTAAAGTTTCGATTAATGCCCTGCGCTATGCCTGGCAATGTCTCCCAGCTCAGTAATCTGTGTGTTGACTCACCACTCGGAAACTACAACAACACTCAAATTTGTCTGTCATCTTGGTTTGAAAGTAATCTTTCAAATAGATTTCAATACCGGTATGTAGTTTATAATAATAATTCCTCAAATTGTTATTCAATTACACATGGCGTACCACAAGGTTCTTTCCTAGGTACTCTACTGTTTTTAATTTACATTAATGATCTTATACACATTCTTCTAAAATCGACATTGTTACTTTTATTTGTGACAAGTTCACAAGCACAAATCGGCGCCTTCAACAACACCTCAATGTTAAATGAAAGCCCTTCCCTGCGTGGGTTTTCAGCAAAAAAAAAAAAAAAAATTATTTTGTTTGCCCCCAAAATAGGGGTGCGCCTTATACACAGGTGCGCCTTATACACAGAGATTTACGGTATTGTAAACAATCCATTCTTATACAACTAAATTATTCATAGCCCTTGTACATTAGATGTTTTACGTAATTCAAGAATAAAAGGTGGACTGGTTGAATTGGGGCCTTTGTTGATACTTTGATTATTATTATTATTACATTCTCAAGAAACATAAACCGAGGCAACTCAATTGTTAATATACTTAAATTTTTCCAAAACTTGGTATTAAAGGGTATAAGTAATTTAGTTTATTAACTGTATGTACATGCAAGCACCTAATCTGTAACATCAGTCTGAAGCTAAATAGAGGGAGGGGACAAGAATTATCAATGGCAAAAGGATTTACGATGTACCAAAAGATAAACGAGAAACTATCACGCACTACTGATGACTGTAATGGAAGTCCTTTACCACAGTGCAGAGAAAACAAGATGATCTTCAAAGATACATATGATTGTCTGTTCTGGCACTGGGCCAAGGTGAGAGATAGATGATTATTAGCCCCATTCACACAAAGGCAATTATTGGGATTTTAACAATCACATGTTAAACCATAATGAGAGTGTGATTTTTTGAAATGTTGATGTGATGTTTGTTGATGTTTGGTAATGAAAACGGTAGCAGCTGAAACATCCCGTTGTTTGGCACGTGACCTTCATATTTCAAATATTCACAACCTTCTAGTAATTGGTCCAATTTTCTAAAACTTCCGCCACTCTGTTTATTATTCTAGCTATGTTAACAGGATGATTTTGCTTTCATACAAATGAACCGATTACAAGGGTTGAAATGCCCTTTAACATAAAATTTCAATTCAATATCTGAGGCAAACGGTTATATAGTATAGTATTAATGACTGCTTTGAGAGAAATAGTTGTTTTTATACGCTCAAGGGAAGGTTAGAATTGTGCTATTACCCGAGGCGTGCCGAGGGCAATAGCCCAATTGTAACCTTCCCGAGAGCGTATAAAAACAACTATTTCTCGAATATTAAAGCAGTCATTAATACTTTTATATGCCAAAAAAAAAAAATTAAAAAAATTAAAATAAAAAATAAAAAAACTTTTGTCGAAGATGGGATTCGATCTCTTGCGTACAAAAGGTGATGTAACTAAAATCACTGCCTTAAACCGCTCTGCTATCGCGCTCTGTTACCATACATAGCAGTTTTTTCTTATATATACATTAAAATGAATTGAAAACGGCTTCGCGTGGTGGATGCTTCGCGGCTGCTCCATTAAACAGGCCCTTCTTTTACTTTTGCAATGCATATTGGCACGAACTTAGATCAAGATCTATCGGCAGATGTTGTTTTTTTGTTTTTGGAAGTTTATTTTCGTCTTCATGTCAACAATGCAAGATAAAATTGTCGGTAAGATCGATCGAGATTCAATTGTATTGAAATTACCGACCAATTCTTCGCACACGTACAGTATCCTCGATCGCTCAGACCATTTTTTAACATGTAAACCTATGGGGTAACCATGGAGACTGAACTATTTTCCCAATAACCATGGTTACTGGGATTATAGAACTGTTTTAACCATGGTTACTGGGAATTTTACAGAAATAGTTGAAGTTTATGAATGCAATTTCGACCAATCAGATGGCTGGATTTCTTAAGTGAGGTATATAACTCACTATATTTGCCTGTTCACTGTACATGAGATATAGTAGTGATCGAGCCAATTTTCCGGGATCAGAAAAAGTGGACAAATTTTAAAACTTGGGCTAGTGAAAACAGGTCTCAAGTACTCACGCATCACATCCAGTAATAAGCTAAGTTATTTTGCTGAAAAGAGTAACGTACCAACACTTTCTCTTTGTCTCTCTCACTTTCTCTTTCGCTCTCTTCCATAATGATCTATTTTAACAAGGCTTCAGTTATAACCCTTATCTTTCATCAGCTGCCTTCAGAAGAACATTGTTAAAAGAGAGCATGTAGAGGGGGGAGGGGAATGAATCAAATTATGACCTTTTTCACTCAATATTAACAAGGACGCATGACAAAGTACAGTGTATAATCACCCTCTTTGTTTAGTTTAAAACACGGTTGCTTCCTTTCTCACTTTTGTAGAATCACCGAAAAACGGCAATCATGATCGCCGATCGTAAACTCACAAAAAGATGCGTTTACAATTTGTAAACGCGTTTCAATGGGGTCAACGCACTGACCTCTAGTGGGTCTACGTAGCATGCACAGTGCAGGTTTGCGAATCCAGCTGCAAGACCAATTAGGGCCACACAGCAAGAATTGCCTGGAGGAGCCGGAGAAGTGAGCATAAACAGTACACCGTGGAACTGTGATTACGATGAGCGTTTACGATGAGCGTTTCATATCGCTCATTCTGCCTTCAAAATTGAGCTTAAACGCAGCCTTACTTGTTAAGAGAGGAGATGTGACAAAATTTAAGTGCCCTTTGTGCTAGTTCTAGAGGAATCAAGAATTTTTAATTGCACATTGCTCGAAAACAGAGAAGCAAACTGTATCATCTCAAGGCTTTTACTTGTTATGACTGAGGCGAGTGTGACTCAAAAGTTTGCTCTAGCTGCATTCACACTGCAACCAAAAATCATTGATTGTTCTCACATTACGTTGTTTCTACGAAAAATGGAAATAAAAAGATCCACCTCTGGAGTGCATGTTTTTTAAACACCTGCCCAAAATTTCACTGATTTTTTTCAGTGTAAATGCAAACTTCTTTACGATTCTGGTTTTTGCTCGCATGACTCTCCTCGCTTCTGTGTGTTAACATGCAGAGCAGCGACAAGCCACGCACACTACTCATCAAAAATTTGGAATGCGCAAACACCCAACATTTTTTGTAATGGATTTTTCCAGTAGTGTAAATGACAGTCAAAGAAATAAACGATGTTTCAAAATGTGTTCGAGATGTGTAAACAAGCCTTTTTTCTTCTTTTTTTTCTTTTTCAGTATTCAAGGAATTAATGCTTTCTTACATAATACTTGAAAACTGTTTCATCTTAGGATGTTTTTCTTTACTCAACATTAACAAGGCGTGACAAAATTTAATCACCCTTAATGAAATTTCTAGAGGAATAGTATTTTTTTTCTTTTATACTTCTTGCTCCAAAACTGGATTATCTCATGGATTTTACCCAATATAAATAAGATGTGAGAAAGTGTAATCACTGAAAACTGTGTCATCTCAAGACTAACATTTTATCTTATCAAGGAAATTAGCAAATACAGCTATCCTCTAAGATCTTGAGAGATTGAGATATTTTTACTTTTTTTTTTTAACACAATAATCTTTTACAACCCCAAAGAGAAATGCCACGTCCAATGTTAATGGCTGAAACCTTGTACCTCTGTAGATTTCTTGAAGTGCTTAGCAAAAAAGATCTCTTTTCCAAATTATATTCATGAATTTTGAAATTGTTAAAAATAAAGCCAAACCTGCCTTAGTGACCACCTGTCTACAAAGACCACCCGTCGACTACTTTTTGTGTTTCCCTTTGAAGGTCCCTATATACAGGTTTAACTGTACATTATTCTACTCTCAAAGAAAGCCACTCATTCACCATAAATTCACAACAGGAGAGGTCCTTAAATGGCCATTGGCTGGCGATAGAGGGGGCTACATACGTACCGTTGAAAGTCTTCTTCAGGTTCTTGACGGCATCAAGGAGACGAGTGATCTCTTTCTCCTCGCAGCCACAGATCTTCATGATGGTCCTGATCTCAGACTCCCCGTGCTTGATCAGGTGGCTCAGGTTCTGCACCTTCTCCATCAGCAACTGCAGTCAAGAGAGGATCAAATCAAACATTGATTTTATCAGTGTTGTAATGATTCAAGCTCTACTAGTAATTGCTTATGTTTCATCACCTTTGTGTGTTCATTCTTTAAACTGTATAATGATTGCAACTTGTCTTTGATAAAACATTGTTATATTCTTTTTCATGTGAAGTCAATTCCAATGGATTGTAAAATTGAAAATGATTTGTTATATTACATTCTTTTTCATGTGAGTTAACTCCAATGAATTGTGAAATTGTGAACATGCATGCATAGATATATAGATAGATAGATAGATAGATAGATAGATGGATAGATATATGGTGAAGTGCTATATCATTCCAGTTTACTGGCTAACATCAGTAACTAGAAGTATGTCACATTGGTCACCCATTCCCTTTTCATTTACATAATTCAGGGACTCCATGACAACTCAAAGAGCATCATTAAACCCTGTTCAAACAAGTTGCGAAAAAAACCGCCTAAAATTAAAATACTGCAGCAAGGTGAAGACATTTCTTGAGTCTACGAATGGCAAAAGAGGGTGAAAAGAAAGAAGCTGTTCACAACAAATTCCCTCAGCACACTGACTGACAGTATCTGTTTATTATAAGATACACTTCTCTATTTAAAGCACACAAAGCTTTAAGTTGAAGTCATTTTATTTTGCCATGCCAGGGTTTTCTTGTATTTGTTCTACTTTAAAACCTGTAAATTCATGTAAGTGATATGTTCATGAATGTTTCATGCTGCCAAGTAATTGAATCAGGCTTTAACACACCATTACAAATTTGACAAAAGTTTTGTATCACAAAGTTTCTTGTGTTTAATTTAATAGTGCATCACCAAGTGTGAAAGGGGCGTTTAAAGATGTAGAAACTCATTGCCATTCAGTAATGCTTGGCAAATCATTAGGGCACTAGCACACTCCAGAGATATCTAGCTCTGTGCAATGCAACATGCAATGGTCATTTCACATTTGCAATGACAAGGGTTTCTCCATGAGTTCTATAGCATCAAGTGTGAACAAAGCTTACAGATGTAGAAACTCATTGCTTGGCAGCAGGTATGCTTGGCAAATCACTGGGTTGTTAAATTGTTGAGATATCTAGCTGCATGTAATGGAAATGCTAAGACTTCCATGAAAACCACATATCGGCTACCCAACACTCCATTAGCTCCAGCTTGCACCCATGATCAGTTGCTCGATTAGATTAGACTTAAAACGGGGTTTTCCCTACTACCTGTATAATTTACTACAGAGAATACTAACCATCTGGTCTGTTCCCAGGGAAATCACATTTCAAGAACAAAAATTGTATTAGCTCAGTGATTACTGAAGTGATAAGCTGCTGTTTAGATAGTGCGTAGAGCCATTTTATACTTAACAGCATACGTACAGTATACTTTCAACATGTCTGTCGTGTGTAGAAAGCCCTTTTGGTTAGATTTAGGCAAGACTGTGACGTCACTAGCGATAATTAAGAAGCTAGTATTGATTTGGCCGCTTGGAGGCGCTGTTAGGCGTGCTGCTAATTTCCATGTTTCGGAAAGGTTATGTTAACCGGAGATGCCATTGATATTTGTCTAATTTCGATACAAGCCCAATGATGTGAGTAAACTATGCATGTTATCTTGAAGTTAAAGTCTTAATGTATCTTTCTAGCCTATTGGCTTTATAAATTATGAGATTTAAGTGACATTTGTGATGCCTTATAAATGAAAGGCCGAGAGTACACGTGTATGTGAAAGTGCACGTGTATGTGAAAGTGCACGGGTTTGTGTGCATGTATTATGTAATGTACTTGTCAGTACGTGTAATGTACTTTGATAATGAATCAGGCGTATGTGGGCATTTACGTTTAGGTATTGTTTAGCTATCAAAGTAAAGATGAACGATATGAAATTATAAGAGGCATATTATGGAGTTTGTAGCTCAGCTGGATTATAATGAGTGTGCATGCTCTCTACAAAAGAGAGACAAAATTACTATCATGCAGCACTAGAAACATTGGTGCAGTGCATGATTTGATTTGTTATGTCAAGGTTGTGATTATGAAGGTATAGGCCTGTAGACTTCTACATTAATCACAATCTATTCAGTTCATATACGATGAAGGAATTTAATGGTTTATTTAATTGTAACAAGTGTGGAAAGACCCACAGAGTATTATAGACCAAATTGTATGACAATTTATCTTGGTTTAAGCAAATAACAATAGGAATTAATACAAACAAGTGAACTAGGGTTGCAGTATTGTATTTCACTGAGGTGAAGTTTATTACATCTAAAAGGGTATCATTTCATGATAAATGAGTTATAATGGCGACATATGACTAAACAAATGTTTATATGTTTACATTAAATTGCAGATTGAACCTGCATTGTTTGCACGGTATCTTCATGGTTTGTCAAGTTCTGTCGTCGATGGTGTCGAGGTGTTTTGGAAGTCACATCAAGTTCAATATCAGCTTGGATAAGTGAGAACGTCAAGCAGTCACCAAGCAGTCACCAAGCAGTCATCATGAGTGAAGTACAACCGGAGGACTCGGTTAGCCAGAGTGGCAGAAGTACTGCTGTTAGTTCCAGTGCCAGAGTAAAGACACTAGCAAAGAAGGCGGTCCTCAAAGCTGAGGTGGAGGCTCTTAGACAGCACCAGGAGTTAGAGCTTGAAGAGTTGAGGCTCAAGCAGAGGAAAGCTGAGTTGGAGCTGAAGACAAAGCTCAGAGTAATGGAAGCAGAGGAGCTTGTCTATCGCCAGTATGAAGATGATCTTGTCAAGGCTAGTGAAGGAGATGAGGTTACCTTCAAGCCTCAGTCTGTCAATGATGACAGCACATTGCCATATCCTGCAACGGATACACCTCAGAAGCAGAACATTGACGTTGAGGTATCAAGAGCACCTGAGTCAACGCCAAAGGCCAGTGATGAGTCACACAGAGAATCCAGAGATCATTTGGACTACGAGATCTTAGGACATTTGAGGCAGGGCCAAATGCAACAACAGCAGCTTCTTGAATCCATAAATTTGCCAAGTGCCGAATTAATGAAATTTGATGGTGACCCATTAAAATATTATGAGTTTGTACAATCATACGACTGTATGATTGGGGACACGTCATTGTCCAGCAGTGGCAAACTCATGAGACTGTTTCACTGTTGTGAAGGAGCAGCAAAGAAACTCATCCAGTGCTGCATGATGATGTCACCGGATCAAGGGTACCTAAGAGCTAGGGGGCTCCTTGCTGAGAGGTTTGGTGACACTCACAAGATTGAAGAAGCCTGGTTGAGGAGAGTTACGGACGGCCCAGCTGTACTAAACAACTGCAAGCAGCTGCGGGATTTTGCTGATGAGCTGCAGACCTGTACAGAGACCCTCAAGGCAATGGGTGTGCTCCAGGAATTGAGTACCCAGAGAGAATTAGTGAAGCTGATCGAAAGATTGCCCTACCAGTTGAGGAGTCGGTGGCTTGGCCAAGTGAAGAGAATCCGTGATACCGGAAGGTCACCTGTAATCTTTGATGTTGTTCGATTTGTGAACGATGCTGCTGAAGAGATCAATGATCCCGTCTACGGAGCTCTAGTTCAGGGAGGATGGAAAGAAGGACGCAGTTTCAAGGCCAAAGACAAGGATAAGGTTTCGATTCCAAACCGATACCACTCTTCCAAAGGAAACTTCTCAGCATCGCTCAGTCCTCAGAAGTGTGCTCTCTGCCATGCTGATCATGGATTGTTTGGTTGTCAGCGGTTCAAGGATATGAATCCTGAGCAACGTTTCCACTTTGCTCGTGAACAGAGACTCTGCTTCAATTGTCTACAGCCAGGGCATATGTCCTTTAAGTGCACCTTGAACAGGACCTGTTCAGTGAAGGGTTGCAAACAGAAGCACACAAAGTTTCTGCATACCGGGAAGCAGATGATGTTTAGCCGTGGAGATAGGAATTCTTCTTCCAAGAAAGCAGAGAGAGATAGTGGTCAATCCAACTCTATGACCCAGACTGATGACAGAGCTTCCGGCAGTGAAGCTTCCTCTTCGCATGCAAGCAGTAATGCCACGGGGGCCGGAAGGTATAGAGTTGCTCTTCCTATAGTACCAGTGAAGGTACGAGCAGCTGATGGCGATACAGTTGTAGAGACATTTGCACTTCTCGATTCAGGATCGACAAATTCATTTTGCCTTAAGGAGTTGGTGGATGAGCTGCAGGTTAAAGGCAAGAGTAAGATCCTGTCTGTCTCTACCTTGGAGAAAAGGAATAGCCGGTTAAGATGTGAAGCAGTAAACATCAAAGTCATGGGACTTGCCACACAATCTGAGCTTGACGTGGAGGTTCACACACGTCCCAGTTTGAATATCAGCATAGCTAATATGGCAGAAGAGGCAGATCTAGCTAAGACTCCACATTTACAAGGTCTTAATCTTCCAGTCGTCAGTAGAAGCCAGGTCACATTGCTGATAGGGCAAGATGTTCCTGAGGCGTTGATGCCCCTTGAGGTAAAAGCAGGTAGACCTGGAGAGATCTATGCTGTAAGGACAGTTCTAGGATGGACATTGAATGGACCCCTAGGAGACAGAGAAGGTCGAGATAATATCCAAGTCTCAACAAGCTTTATCTCAGACGATAGTAATGCTGGTTTGGAGGAACAGGTGAAGAAATTCTGGAAGCTAGAAGGAATGGAATACCTGTATGATGATAATAGAGGAATGTCAGTAAATGACAAGAAGGTATCTGAGTTCTGGAAGAAAGAGATTAGCATGGACAACGGTCACTATCAACTGCCTATTCCCTTTAGAGAAGAGAACCCAAATTTGCCTGAGAATCGCTACATGGCAGAACAGCGATTAGAGTCACTGAGGAGAAAACTCAGCAAGGATGATTACCTTATGGGTAAATACAAGGAAGGGATGTCCAGCCTTTTGGAGAAAGGATATGCTGAGGAAGTATGTGTAGACAACACAACTGAAGTCCAGATTCAGGACAGACAAGAGAAATGGTATCTTC